CTGCACGTTTTGTGTAGCACACAGTTATTAAACCTCGTCAACATAAACACACAAAACATTTAGCAACCCGCAAAACACTCACACACACACACACACACACACACACACACACACACACACACACACACACACACACACACGGGGCGGGGCAGTTTGTAAAGGTCTCCTGACTGTGTTACAGACTGTCATCCTGGTTAGTGGTTACTCTGGGTTCTGTCTTCAGGACAGAGTGTTGGATTCTTTGTGTTAATTGGATGGGACTTGATTGGATTCAATATTAGAGTCACTTTGTCGTTTGTGTGTTTTTAAAAAATATATATTTGGCCTTTGTTTCTGTGTTTGACTGATTTCCTCAAATAAAAAGGTTGATGAATCATCTTCTAGATTTGTATGATGTTTTATTTATGTTAAAGGTCACTTTGAATAATTTTAACTAATGATAATGTAGAAAAACTAATATTTTAAATTCGGGACGGTCCACATTCATTTCAGGACGGCTTAGATTGTATTTCGTGACGGTTCCGGGAGGATGGTGAAAAAAGTTAGTTGAGAGCCCTGCTCTCTCTTCTTTCATTTCCCCCCCCATTCCTCCCTCCCTCTCTCGTACCATTATCTCTACCTTCTCTCAACAATCTCTGCCTCTTACTCTAGCAATTTACAAACTGCACCTCTATCACTCTATGGAGATTTTTCCACCTTTTCGTAACCTAACCAATATTTCATATTGTCATTCTTCTTGTCTCACCCCCCTGTTTCCTCCCTCTTCCCCTCTTCAACAGGGTGAGTCGTGGATGGGAGGAGATGATGAGCCGCTGACTGGCTTCACTTGGAGAGGAGGCTGCGAGAGGGAGACCACAGGAATTCAGATCTGGAGCGAAGTGTTTGTGGTCGACAAGCCTGATGGCAACAAGGTAAACACCAATCAAAACAATCAATACAGAAAGGCGTTGGGAGAATCTGCTCAACATCACATCTGTTTTCTCTTCGTGACGTTTACATGCATAAACAATTGAAGCAGGATCCCAGGCCCCGCCAAGCTGAAGTGTGCAGCAGTTTAAATGTGTCCCCTCTCGTCCCAACAGGTTGCTGTGCTGCTCGTTGACACTCAGGGAGCGTTTGACAGCCAGTCCACCATAAAGGACTGTGCCACTGTGTTCGCCCTCAGCACCATGACCAGCTCTGTGCAGGTGACACTTCAAAGCACTTCCTGTCTTAGGAAAAATATGCTTTTTTTTTTCTCTTAAAATGTCAGTATTTATGTCTCATATTTGTCTTCCTTCTTCTCAGGTGTACAATCTCTCCCAGAACATACAGGAGGACGACTTGCAGCATCTGCAGGTTGGTATTGTGTTGTCTACTCCCACGGAACAGTAGCTCCGAAGTTACTTTTGTTTCCTGATCAAATGTGTTTTTCTCCCATCTGTAGCTCTTCACAGAATATGGCCGCCTGGCAATGGAAGAGATCTGCCTGAAACCTTTCCAGGTACTGACGCCTCTGTTGACTGTGTACTCGTGTACATGCATTAGGGCTGCTCAATTAATCGTATTTTAATCGCAATTACGATTTTGGCTTGCAATGCTTATGAAAACAACATCATTTAAATTAAAACGATTATTTAAACTTTTTTTTTTTTATTAAAAAACATTTAATTTAATTTTTTTTTATTGGTTTTTCAGTTGAATTATACTTGACATACTGTTCACATTTTTTTTTCAAAAAATTGATGTTTTCAAAGTAAATGGATAATCTTTTTTAATAATCGTGATATCAATTATTGACCCAAATAATCGAGATTATGATTTTTGCCATAACCGAGCAGCCCTAACATGCGTGTTGTCCGAATGTATTAATATAAACCGTTGAAAATGATCCTAGTCCATAACATATACTATAATTACACAAGTGGCTGCTCAGTAGGTCATGTATTTATATTGACTAGATCCATATAATTGAGAAATGTAATTAGAATTTGTATCTGAAAACAGGAACGTTATGGAACATATAAGTTAAAAAGTTAGTAAGAAAATCCAAAAATTATTATAAATCTTAAAATTGTACTTTTAAATCTAAGTAATCAATATATAGACACCTTTTTTATTGACTTATTTTCATTTTTTTTTAAATTGTCATCTGTGTTGTTGTTTTCCTGTGTGTTCAGTCCCTGATGTTCCTGATTCGGGACTGGTGTTATCCTTATGAACACGGCTACGGACTGGAAGGTGGAAACCAATTCCTGGATAGAAGACTACAGGTGAGAATAATTGATAAGTTATAGTTAAACACATCGTTCAATATATTTATGCATCAGGACACACACACACTCACTGCTCCTGTCAGACACTCCTCTTTTGAAAAGCACGCTTAACAGCAGAGTCTGTTCAGCTCTGTGTAAATTTGCTTCGTGAGAGGTTTGTGTACACACTCATCAGTCAATGACGAGAGGAAAAAGCACACGCTTTCACTCTGAGAGTAAATGGTTTTCTGCTGACTCAGGTGAAACAGAACCAACATGAAGAGCTGCAGAACGTGAGGAAGCACATCCACTCCTGCTTCTCCAACATCGGCTGCTTCCTGCTGCCTCATCCCGGCCTCAAGGTGGCCATCAACCCCTGCTTTGACGGCAGGCTGAAAGGTGAGCAAACAGGAACAATAATAATAATACTCTAATAATGAAGTGAGCCGGACTGAAATGCTTGTTGCAGAGGTCAATCAAGGTGTGTGTTTGTGTGTTTCAGACATCGATGGGGATTTCAAGATGGAGCTGGCCAGGCTGGTTCCTCTCCTGCTGGCCCCCGAGCGTCTGGTGGAGAAGGAGATCGGAGGAAACAAAGTCACCTGCAGAGATCTCCTGGAGTACTTCAAGGTGCTGCAAAGTGCACTAGATTTATAATTCACACAAATAGCAAAAGATAAGGGTGTGTTGTCTGACGTTGTTTTGGCATTTTAGCAAAATTAGACATTTTAACAGTGGTGTCATAGGAAAAAAAACATTTGTAAAATGAAGACATGTTAAAATAATTATAACGTTTTTTTTTGCCTTTTGTTGATGGCTTGCAGAGCTTTAACATTTTGTTTATTTTGACAAAAAAAAGACACCATTTTATGATTGATATGTTCTAATTATCACTTAAATTATGTCTCAGTTTTAAATCCAGCTTTTTTTGTTGGTTTAATCCTCTTTTTAAACACCGCCCATTGTGCCATTTGCTGCTGTAAAGTGAATCCTAAGAAAGTCCTCACCAGACTGTAGATTTTCTGTCAGCTGGCAGAACATGGTACAGGAGACACTGGTTTGATAATCTGTGTAATATCTCTTTCCTGCAGGCTTACATAAAGATCTACCAAGGGGAGGAGCTGCCTCACCCAAAGTCCATGCTGCAGGTCAGTTACTGTCTGAGGGATCTCATTAGCTACGGTTCTAGTTCGGTTTGAATCCTAAACTCATCATCTCCTCCGGTTTGTCAGGCGACAGCAGAAGCCAACAACCTGACTGCTGTGGCAGGAGCCAAAGACATGTACGCCAGGAACATGGAGCAGGTACGGACAGGACTTAATTCAACACTCATCTGTATTACATTCAATTACACAACCCAAGGATTTCCAAAGGTGTCATTTAGGGAGACTGGGGTGAAGTCATGGTTCAATATGTTTTACAGGAAGCTAGCAGCACACTACTCCTTCAAAACACCTCTCACATTATTCAAACAATCCCTCAACTCACCTTTTCACTCTTGCCTTCAACTCCTTATCCACTAACCCCTCGCCCTTATTCCACCTAGCTTAGCACTTTTTACTTTTGTTGTTATTTTTCTTCTTTACTTGCTTGTA